AAAGAAAGAAAGAAAGAAAGAAAGAAAGAAAGAAAGAAAGAAAGAAAGAAAGAAAGAAAGAAAGGAAGAAAGAAAAAGAAAAACACCTTTGGGAGCAGGGTGTGTAGATAGTTAGAGCAATCAAGAGTAGCATGCTTGAAGCCCCAAGCTTCACCTTTAGCACCTGGACTGCAACAATAACAACAACAACAAAAAACCACCTCTGGGCCATACGATGTCCAGAAAACCTACCCATGAGAAGGGTGGAGGGACCTAGCTCTCTCCAGGGTATCTGGCTAGGAATCAGGTACTGTAAGATAGTGTTAAGAATGCTAATGTTTAGCCAGGTGGTGGTGGTGGTGGCGGTGGCGGCCGCGCACGCCTTTAATCCCAGCACTAGAAAGAGAGAGGCAGGCAGATCTCTGTGAGTTGACGGCCAGCCTGGGATACATAGTGAGTTCCTGGTCAGCTAGGGCCACACAGTAAGAAACTATTTCAAAACAACAACAACAGAAGAATGTTGATGTTTAAATATACCACATTTTCGTTATCCATTTGTTGGTTGACAGACATCTAGGCTGATTCCATTTCTTGGCTATTGTGAATAGGGAGGCAGTGAACATGGATGAATAGGTATCTCTATGCACACACTGGAGGAGAAAAGTAATCATCAATCTTACCCAGCTGTGAGCTTTGCAAGCTACGATAATGACCGGCCTGGCTAGACATGCCCGTCGGTGCACTGGTAACACAAACATCACTTTCTGCTGGGATTAAGTCCCACCCCAAGATGAAACCCATACCCAACACCACTGTCAGCCCAAGAATCTGTTACTAGATAGGTCCTAGGATCTAGGCAAGAAACTATTACTATGATTCTACTAAAGGATAAAGTATTAAACTGACCCCTAATGGCTTATGGTTACACTCGTGGATTAATGCATCTGTGAACTTTCATTAGAGAAGATTCTATTACCAGTAGGTGGTGATTAACAAAAAGACCCATAACTGGCTAAGGTTTAGAGAATAGAGACTGTAGACTGTTTGGCCTTAACCATGATATATACTGATCACGTCATTTCTCCCAAAGCCCGGGCATCATCGCACGAGAGAAAGCAGACAGTGTAAGAGGCAGAGGCAGTCGATGATTACAAGGAACCAGTGTCTTCTGCACACACAGGGCAGAGTCACATATGGACTCACAGTGGCTGTGACAGCATGTGCGGGATCTGGGCAACCTCAAGCCAGCCCGAATTCCAGCATGGGGATGGGACGTGGGCAAGAAGTCCCTTCCCCCCCTAGCCAGGAACTATTGGAAACTGACAGCTGCCAGGAGAGGGGGTGTCCGTTTGTTGGTTTGTTTGTTTGTTGAGAGTGTTGCTCCCGGTGAGCCAACCACGCTCCAGTGGAAGGCCACACACACAAGAACATGGAGGCAGCAGACACAGGACTTAATGAGTATTTAAAGAAAAAAGACCAAGCTGGCTGGGTATGGAAGAGGTGGGTCTGGAGCAGTAAGTTACAGGACCAAAAACAAAATATGATCAAAACACTCTGCACGAAATCCTCAAAGAACTCTTTTTTTTTTTATGAGAAAACAAGAATGCTACTATGACCAGGAAGTCTAGAGACTGAGGACGCAGCTGCTGCTGCTGCTGCTGCTGCTGCGTTTGTCTTGCGTGTGTGAATCCCTAGACCCCGTCCGCAGCACTGTAAAAACAGAGCATGGGGGCCCGTGTCTGTCACCCCAGAGCTGGGAAGACAAGGCTGGAGGACCAAAACGTCAAGGTCAGCCTCAGCTACACAGCAAGGCCCCGTTTCAAGTGAGAGTAATAATAATGATAATGATAATAATAATAATAATAATAATAATAATAATGGGCCTATATTATGAACTTCAGTATTACTTTTCCCTCAAATAAGCAGGCTAAGCTGCTGGAGACCCTGGCAATTTGACGTTTAGATCAACACATCAGGTCCTTCTCTTGCATCTGCTGTGCCTGGCTGCCCTGAGTAGCAGATGTCGCCCAAGCTGCCCCTCTACTGGCAGCTGACTGGCCCGTCATCATGGCATCTCTGCTGCCTCAGTGATCTCACGGATGGAAACTCCACGTGGGCCGCAGGAAACACTACGGCTGTAGTTGTTGCTGAACACACGAACTTCCGCTTCAGGAGGCCTTGCCCTAGCTTACAGCGCTTTAGTCTACAGTGGACAGAAACCTTCCTGTCCGTTATGACCTCCCAGCAGTCCAGGCTACCCTGGCTGCAGAAGGTCCCACCCTTGACTCTTCTTGAGTTTAGAATAGCGGTCCTCAGCAATGTCTGGGATGAAGAAGGGCTTCTCTAGCAAAACACGTGTGAGGAGCTGGAGGTCTGTGACTGGTGGACTTGGAAGTGGGCATGTGGCAGGCTGTGACTGGTGGATTTATGATCTAAGTACAAGCGTGCCACACCCTTCTCCTGGCTGGATAAACAGGCTGCTTGCCCCTCTTCCGGGGTTAGTTAGTCTGGGAGGCTTCTGGCCGGCACACTGACCCCTGCCCACCCCCCCAGCACCGCACCCCCCACCCCCCACGGACATCTTGCAGTGTTTTAACATTAGGCCCTCCCTATAAGGCTTCTACTTTGCATATTTGTCACTGTTATTGTGTGTGGAGTGGGCTGAGGTGATTGCATGGAGAATGGAAAGAAATCACGGGCTTTCTTCAGAACTAGGGTGGGAGCAGCAACCAGGAGTACAGTAGCTGAGGTAGCTAGAGCGCCCCTAGAGGGTGGGAACCCCAACAGTTCCACCTCAGGGCTGTAACACCCAAGTGGAGGCCAAGAGCCTCAGCCCCCCTCTGGGCTCGGAGCTGGAACGCTGTCCCTGAGTGCAGTCAACAGCCCCGGTTTCAAAGCTTGCAACCAGAGGCTCTGGTTCCCAGGGCCTGGGGCTAAACGCTTCTGGCTTTGGAAGGCGAGCCCGTGAGCTGCTGGAACTGTCCCTGCGGCCTTTGTCTGTCTGTGATGTCTATCCAGATAGATCAAATTGATTGATCCAGCTAGATTAAAAACATCTTCAGCCTGGCACGCGTGACGCCCGGAGTCCGAGGGCCGGCGACAGGCAGTGCTGACTGTCGGTTGAGGAAACGCTGGCCTGTTGTTTTGTTCTTCTTTACTTTCTGTTTGTCCAGAGCCTGCCAAGGGGGACATTAGAAATGCCATGCTGTCCTTGTCCCAGAGAGCCTGTCCCAACGGTGGAGGGGACAGGAGATACAAAACACCAGTAAGGGTTTGCCAGTGATCAACTCTGAGAGACCGAAACATTCTCAAGTGGGCAAGTAGGAGGCAGGAACCAGCGGGGGCGGTGACTGTCTTAGCTCGAGTGGGGTCTCCTCAGGCTTGTCCAGTCTGCGATGTGGAAACAATTAATCCTGGAATCCCTGGGACAGATCCCTAAGGAAATCAGCTCACAAAGTAGCTAATCCTTTGGGGGAAATTATGGTGAGAGCATCACAGTGTTTTATTTTCTTCTGAGTTTAGGAAAAATGTGTCTAAGTCACTGCTGACATCACACTTCTTTCCGTAACATACCTACATCATAGTCTGAGCTGCCTGTCCTGGTGCAGACCTGTAATTCCAGAACTGGAGAGGCAGAGGCAGGAGGATTACTACAGGTTCAAGGCCAGCTAGGTCTACCTATGAGATTCTATCTAAAAATAAACAAACAAATTTATATATATATATATATATATATATATAATAGTATGTAACAATATGCTTCCATTATATATGTGAGTGGGGGTTAGTAGAATCTTTGCATAGGTAT